ACGTACGCGCAAATCGAATTCCTCCACAGATGTCTCGACAGCCGTGTGCTACCGAAGAGTCTTTCCTACAAGCCGCCGGTAAACACAGGGCTAGCGAAGCAATGGGTGATGCAACATGGCAGGCGAATGACTCGTGTGCTTATCCAGGACTGTCATTTGCGACTGCAGAAATACCGCAGAGTCTTGGACCAGGTAATTCCGAAGTGTTCGGAGCTCATTGGAGAGAACGATGCAACACTCCTGAAACGAGTCATCGAAAACCGAGCCAAAGAACTAAGATCGAGACGAGATCGGGATTTGAGGCACAAATTCCAAAAATTAAGTCCAACAACGCAAGATCCCAGCGAGACACTGGTCCACAATTTGTCTTCCAAGGAACTGACGCCAGTGCAGCTTCAAGTGCTACAACATCCAGCATGCTTTAATACCGCGGACGCCGATCCGGTTAACCTCTTGGCTAGCATCGAGTCGGTCCTCAAGCACTCCCAGGAGCCGGACGATGCAAAACATCTCATCCGACAGCAAGTAACATCCTTACTGTTGGCGCACAAACCGCGAGTAGCAATTCCGAAAGTAGAGCAAGACGCCCTCGAGAGACTGAAGGCTGACAGAAGCATTGTAGTATTGCCAGCCGACAAGGGACGTTCCACAGTAGTGCTCGACAAGATAGATTACCTTCAGAAAGCCAACGCCCTGCTCGATGATCGTCTTGCGTACCTCAGGTGCGACGGAGATCCGATGAAGAAGCTGGTGGCACAAATCAACACGACGCTCGCTAGGTTACAGAGCAACGGTGCCATCTCAAAAGCAGAACGACTGGCCATTAAACCAACAGATTCGGCTATGGCGAGATTCTATGGGCTGCCGAAAGTGCACAAACCTGGTGCTCCACTTCGACCTATCGTATCTTTGCGCGGAACGCCTACATTCAACCTGGCAAAATGGCTGTTCCGACGTCTGAAGTGTCTCACATCAGGCTCCGATACAACGGTCCGCTCAGCCGTACATTTCTTGGAAAGACTTCAGGGTCTACACCTTAATGCAGACGAAGTCATGGTATCATTTGATGTTACCTCCCTCTTCACCTCAATTCCTCAGAGTCTAGCAATTGAAACTGTCGGCGATCTACTCGAGAGTCAATATGACAACGAGACCAATAAGCTTAAACGAGGACACCTTATCCAGCTGCTCCATTTTTGCCTCAAGACCTATTTCACCTTTGAAGGAACGGTCTATGAACAAATCAAAGGAACTCCAATGGGTTCGCCGCTGTCTGGTTTCATTGCTGAGGCGGTCCTTCAAAAGTTGGAGACGCTGGTGTTCGCAACCCACAGACCAATATTTTGGGCACGGTATGTGGACGATACCTTCGTCATCCTCAAGCGGGAGATGGTCTCCGAATTTCACGCGATTCTGAACTCTGTTTTTCCGGACATCCATTTCACAATGGAGGCAGAAGTCAACAACCAGCTAGCGTTCCTAGACGTCCTGGTCCACCGCAAAACTAACGGAAGCCTAAGAACGACGGTATACCGAAAGGCCACCAACACACGTCAGGTCCTCAGTTACTACAGTAACCACCCGTCGTGCCATAAACGTAGCTGTGTGCGGACTCTTTACAAGAGGGCGGAAACTCACTGCAGCGATGCAGCCGACAAAGTAGCCGAACTCCATTATCTTCGGCAGATGTTCATCTTCAACGGTTACCCTCGTAGTTTCATCGAACGCAGCAGACAACCAAAGAAGGCTATAAGGTCAACGAGAGAACAACCAACAGTGTGGCGGGCGCTACCGTATATTGAGAATGTATCGGAAGCAGTCGCTCGTCTCTTACAACCACTGGGGATCGGCGTCGCCCACAGACCTGAAGCGACAATAAGACGTCTCGTCATGAGACCCAAGGCCCCTCTGTCACGAAGCGAGACAGCGAATGTCGTCTACCGTGTCCAGTGCAGTTCCTGTGAGGCGAACTACGTAGGAGAGACCGGAAAACGTCTAAAAACCCGCATGAGTGAGCACGCAAGGGCAGTGAGAAGGATGGACCAACTCTCACTGGTGGCGGAACATTGTGCAGCCTCTGGGCACACTTTCGCCTTCCAGAAAGCCGAAATCCTAGGCCGAGGTACCGGCCAGACAGCTAGGGAAACGCTCGAAGCCTGGCACACCGTACCAACCTCCATCAACCGCTGCACGATTCTCCCGGCAGCCTACCAGGCCCTACGAGTGCGGTTCAACCAACGGAATCAAAGGCAGGAAGTCAGCACCACAAGTCCAGGTGAACACAGTTCGCGCCCAAACACCGATGACGGGGGCCAGCAGACCGATAAAGGAGAAACAGGCAACGGGCCAGCAGCCACCGAGGTGCACACGGGCAGAGGCAAACGGCCGACAATTACGAGAAACGCGGGTCAGGCACAACAAATGCGGGCAATGCAGACGAGGTCAATGACCGTTGCCATCCCGACACAGCCCACCCGAAGAGGAGACGCAGGATGGGACCGACCAGCACGACAGCAATTAGCTCCTCCCCCCGCAGCAGATCCTGCAAGAATAGCAGTAGGAACGACAACACTCCCGCATGCTCAGCACCCATAAATACTGTGAGGCGCCGTACAGAACCCACCTCCGACGATGGAAGCTTGTTTGCTTTTGAAACGTCAGGCTATTAAACCTATGGTTCCCGAGATCGCCTCTTCTTCTCATATATATATATGGGAGTTATTTTCCTGTAGACAGGGATCTACACGGGAGCAATTGGCCTTTCTGCACAACTGCCTGAGATCAGACATTATGCCGAGGAGCGTCTCTGTAAGGCCACCAGCTAGAACCGATTTCGGTCGTGAGGTCGCCAGAAGCTGCAGCCGACGCCTACTAAGAACCCTCATCAACGAATGCCACATTCGTCTGCGGAAATACAGCAAGGAAATCGAAAGGGCGAAAACATCATGTGCATCATATCTGGAGACGGAAACACTACGAAACCTGGAGAGCTGGATCTTGATTAAAGTGAACCAGGAGCGAAATAAGAAAAAGACCCAACTCCTAAACAAAATGTGTACTCTAAGACAAGCACAATCAACGGCACCCGGACCGTCATCCGTCCACAACCTGTCATCCAAACAGCTGACAGAGGACCAAGTTAAAGTTCTTCAACGTGAATCCAGTTACAACACAGGAGACGCACAGCCAGTGGACTTCATCGCTGCACTAGAAGCGACACTCTCAAAAACTGATACCACGGAGGACTCAAAGAACGCGATTCGCCAACGAGTCGCGTCCCTCATCATGTCCCACAGACCTCACCGAACCATCCCGCCGGCAGAGGTAAAGGCCATCAAGGAACTAAAGAGGGACGAAGAAATTGTCATTGTTCCAGCAGACAAAGGGCGGGCAACCGTAGTGCTAGACAAGTCGGAGTACGTTACCAAAGCGCAGCAGCTACTAGATGACGAACAATCGTATAAAGTCATCGACTCCGACCCCATGAAAGCACAAGTAGGCCAAATCAACAAGAGCCTGAACCAGATGAGGAAAGAAAAGGCAATATCAGAAAAGGATTGGAGACAAATGAAACCCCAAGATGCTGCCCTAGCGCGCTTTTATGGTTTGCCGAAAATCCACAAGCCAAATGTCCCCCTACGGCCCA